TCAGTTCAAGTTCATAAATCTAAAGTTCAGTTCAGGTTCAGGTTCAATGATCTGCAAAATTTGTGGTTCAGGTTCAGATTCAGGTTCAGGTTCATTAAACCTAAACCTGAACTGAACTGAACTTTGGAACACTAACAGCAACTGCTTCTTCTATATGAAGTTAGACACCTGTAATATAGTTACACCAACTTGATTGAGAGGTTAGAGCATCTGTATTATATAGGAGAATGCAAATCAGTACAGAATAGTGCAAACCTATAATAAGTTCTTTAGTCATATATAGAAATTTATATATATAGAAAGGTTAGAAAAGCTTATTTAGAAAGATCTAAATAGAAGGTAACACAGATATTTGATAGAACCACTGTAAAAACTAGATCCAAAAATGGATATTTGGCAAAATAAACAGTTGATCTATAGTATAGATAGGAAACAAATATAGATTAGTAGAATAGAGTTAGTTTTTTTATATATAACAGAAGATATAATATAAAAATATAAATATTAACCATATAGTCTTATAGAAATTTTATATATAATATATTTATTTGTCACATTAATAGTTATCATATATATTATATACCCATCTATACTATATATAATCTAAATGAACTGAATTAGGTACAATTTATAGACAAGTGGATCTATCAACCAAGCTGTCAAAATTTGGACTAGAGAAAAAGGATATTGAACTAAACTCAATATATCAGAGACAAGTCACAATTCTTCTAAGCTATCTGAATTAGGAGTTTGAGAAGAATTACAAGATATACTAAAATATTAAAGATATGCTGTGAAGTAAGAACTGAGGTCTAGTTGTGAACCTATAAGGGCAAGTATTAGATAATGGTAGTAGAGATTGAAAGACCAACTGCAAGTATAAGTTCTTAGGCTTGGTATAAGTTACTAAAGTCTAGATTAGCTGTATATAAGACACAGAAGGCTCTAGCAGGTTTGCTTTTGAGAATAAAGTACCTCAAAAAAGTGAAAAGCATGATCTGACAAATGTAAATATCAACTTCTGAGTAGAATATACTTTAAAGTTCTAAGCTGAGTATATGAAAATAAGAAAGATATAGTACCTCTCATTCAGTGTTTTACATAATTGCAAAGGGTTTAAATAGGTAACCTTTAGCTGAATTGCAGGAATAGCATATAGTATAGAACTTTTAGGCAAACTACTTGAATAAGCAACCAAAAGTTACATATGTGGCTAAATGTATTCTCCAATATATATACTATGCAGACTATTCTTAGTAGTTTATTATATAATAAATGAGTTAATCTAATAATCAAATAAAAGCAAATAGCCAAGAAGCTACCTTAATATCAAAAAAAATTTAAATAATGGTTATATTAAAATTAAAAGATCTCAAAGCATTTGTATATTAAAGAAGTTATATAAAGATATACAAGCTGATTTAATTAGTCCAAACTCAAAATAAGTCTTTAAAAGTTATAGAAAACTATAGAGCTAATATAATAGTAAGTTACTTGCTTAGCAAATTTTAAGTAAAGAAATAACACAAACTTTTGATAATATTATTAGAATAGGCTATATCTAAAAAACTAAATGTGGATTGGATATATAAGAAAAATTTAAAATTAGATTATAATTAATTAAAATTTAAAGATTTTAAATAATTTTTATTATCATCATCGATTAAAATTGATTAGATTTTTATCGATTATAATTGATATAAATTATTGCTATCGATTATAATCGTTTAAATTGTATCAATTTTTATTATTAACAATTATTATCAATTTTGATATGAATCAATTATCAACACCACTGTCAGTTAAAATTACTTAAAGCTAATTGATTATAATCGATTAACTGTTTTGCAACTGATTATAATCAGGCTTTAAAATTTCCTGATGATATTAGTAATAGTATAATAATCTAGTTAATTTGAATCTGAATTTTCATTATTTTCATTTGGAGCAAAACATAATTCATCTTTATACGGATCATGTATATAGGGACGAATGTCTTTAAATAATTGTGTTTGACGTTTTAAAGATATAGATTTTAAGGAAATTATGTTTAAAGGTTTGTATGGATCAAAAGAAAGATTATTATGAATTATAGCTTCTTTTTTTGATCCATTAGCTTCTAATGTCATAAAAACCTTTCCAGGTTGATTATGTTAAAAATAAAAATGTCGATATGTTCGTATACCATTACATTTAATAAAATATGGATTAAAAAATGTTTCAAAATCATAGTAATTCCATCCTATATTATTTTCTTTATCATATCTAACTGCTATATTACTTCCATCTTTTTTTGATTGATTAATAATAGCTTCAACGTGATACATACTCATAACAGTTGATTTATAATAAAGTGATTTAATTGTTCCAAAATATGCATCGCATATAAATTTAGTATGACCAGGAACCATGAAATTAACTTCAATCATGTCAAAAAATCCGATCATAGTAAGCCACGAATAAAACCACAAAGCAAGATTATTTTTGTTTTGGCCTCCACAGTTGTCACAGGTAATTTTAAGATTTTTTTGTAGTGAATTCCAATGAAGCAAACTATTATATACGAGACTTAAAGTAGTATTAGCACCTTTAGGTGTTTTTATTGGAAATTGATGTTCGCCAATTAAATAGTTTCATTGAGTTGTAGGTTCCAAACTAGTATTAGTAATTCCAAAAAGATGAACATTAAATGGAGATTTAAAAAATAAACCTCCTGGTTGCCATGGTGAGTAGGGAATCAGTACATTTTGAGCCCAGTCATAGCAAATATGCATAGTATTAAATCTTGTTTGTTTACTAATTTCAATATTTTTATTATAGTACTGACGTTCAATTGTTGCAGCTGCGCGATGAAGATTATATTCT